TCTCTAAAAATAACATGTTTTCTCTCCACATTTATTTATTCGCTAAAGAGTCAAGCATCCATGAATTTTAAATCATTTGAAGTTTAAGTATTTCTCTAAAAAATATAAAACATTTTAATTGATTTTGAGGATTCCTAAACTTTTATATTTTTTTTACCATTTACCTTAAAAAAAATAATTACATAAATAATTTTATGAAAAAAATCATTCGAGTAAGATTTATATAGGGCTCTTTAAAAATTTTGAGATTACTTTGGAGTTATTTTATAGTTTTCCCTATTTTTTTATATTTAATGTTCAAAAATAAAAAATATATGTATAATTTACAATTTTTAAAAATTATAGAATTTTTTTACAAAATAGATTGAATTTTTTGCAATGTGTATGTAAAATTTCAACTCTAAATATCAAGAATTAATTTTATTTTATTTTTTTCAGAAGAAAAGATGATAGCTGAAACTTATTGGATTGACTAAATTTCAAAAAAAATTAAAAATTCAAAAATCTCCCAAACTAATAAAAAAAAAATAAAGAACTCAATCTCAAATCACTTAAATTTCAAGATACTTTTAACCTTATTTATTTATTTATTTATTTAGAATTTCAATATTGTCTTTGTAGTTCTTATGACGGTACTTCCATTTAAAAAATTTTAGTTTCACCCCTACCATCAACTCCAGGGACGATGTCCACTAGAATCAGTTCCGCATAGGAAGACTCATCTGACTAAATTCAGAAAGTATATAGTTATAATTTTGAATACATGCATATACTTTGTGGGGAAAAAAGAGTAATAATTTCTTATCTAAGGGATCGATCGAGGCCATACAAAATCAGCTTTTCATGTCAGTACTCTACTTTTTGCTATGGGCATATATTGCTTGGAAAATTTAATGCATTAAATCCATCTACTTTGTAACTTCTACACAAGGAAAAAAAAAAAAACACTTAATATCGCAATGAATAAAGAAAACTTACCACTGTAGACTATTAAATTTGAGTTTATTACATACTTTTTGCCGCATAACTTCAAGCAAAAGAGAATTAATTAGTTAAGCAAAACGGCTTCGATAATTAATTAATTAAATCTTCTCTTCCTCAATGGAGTAATTAAGAAATTAATCTTAATTGTTAGTTATGCATCTTATGGCAATGGCATATCTAGATTGACTGGAAAATTAATACGTTAATTCATTAAACTTTAATCTTAACCAATAGCACACCGCCACGTACGCATCCAATTAGAAAGTTTCCACCATAATTAATTAGATTCCATCAAACCTACCATTGACCAGCTTGATTCCTATGAAAATGGAAATTTCCCAAATAACCCTTAATCAAGTCATTCCTACAAGAAACTAAGAATTCTGAGAAAATGTGTAATCAATTAATGACATCCAAAGCTTTAACTAGAGAAGCTTAATGGTCACTAGTGTTCAGCAATGGTAAGCAATATCAACCATTGGATCGTTAAAAAAACAATGGTCAAGATCAAGTACTCTTTGTCATAAATGCATTTTTGCCTTCGTCTATTAAGCAGCAACAACAATAATAATAATAATAACAGTAATATATACTAAGGTGGTAACTCCTACGCTAGTCTCAAACCCAAGCCATTAAGCCTCAAAAAAACAATCTTCTGCTTTGATTTCTTCTGATGGAGCTTGAGAACAACCTCAGAAGAGAGAATCCTGTTTCTCAACCAATGTTTTTGCCGAACAAACCATACATGAAGGAAGAGTACTTTCCCTTCGAAACACCCGCTAGCCCATCATCAAAAGGCTTTCTTCAGGATTTTAACCATCTTGATGATCAAGCCAATCAGTTTCATGCTAATGGCTCATCATCAAATCCATTTTTCGGTGTCCAAACTGGGTCTAACTTTGATTCTTTTGATGCTTTCCCTTATGGGTCCTCATCAAATATTGATTTCTATGATTATGAATGCAAGCCATTTGCAGGTAACATCAATGGAGGTGATGGGCATGGACATGGCCAAGTCAGTGATAGTTTCCAGAGTGGTGGCTACTTGAACCTCTCTAATCAAAGGAATTCCATTGATGAAATTGGATCCAACCAGGGCCATATCTCCTTAAATTTCGAAGATATAAAGCCTGTGAGTTTTGTTGTACCTGATGAAGTCTCATGCGCGAGTACTACTAAGAATGAGTGCAAAGAGAAAATGGGTTTGAACAAGACTAGGACACTTCTACCTTCGGCTAGAAAGACATGGAAAGGTCGTAAGAAGAACAGTATGGTGAAGGGTCAATGGACTAGTGAGGAAGATAGGTACACATATATTTAAGATATCTTGTTCTAATTAGGCATATATGCATCTTTGGGGTTTCTTTTTCATGTTAATTAGCTGGCCGGCAATAATGGCGTTATTGTATATGTTGCGTGCTTGTACAGGCTCTTGATTCAGCTGGTTGAACAGTATGGAGTGAGAAAATGGTCTCATGTTGCTCAGATGTTGCCTGGAAGGATAGGAAAGCAGTGTAGAGAGAGATGGCATAATCATCTAAGGCCTGACATCAAGGTTAACATCATTTCACAATTTCCGGCCTTAATTCTGTTATTTTAAGTGTATTATTGTAGTCTATTTTGATATATCTTCACTTGTTTTCACAAGAATCAAGCATGCAATTTAGGGTATTAAAAGCAGTTTATTTCGTGTTTGAAGTTATGCGCCCAACTAATAGCATATTGTTTGCAGATTTTAGATTCTTATTCAGTTCTTTCTGAGACATTAGCTCAAAAAAGTTCATATATAGAATAGATCCAAATTCTGTTTGTTAGAGAAAGTAATTTAACAGCACAGGAATCATGCATACATGACATGTATATGTGTGTCTTGGCATTATATTCATAAGCTGGGATAAGGATGCCAGTTCATTTTCTCATCATTTCTTTGGTTATTCTCATTACAGAAGGATACTTGGAGTGTAGAGGAGGATAAGGTACTGATACAGGCACATTCAGAATTAGGCAACAAATGGGCAGAAATTGCCAAGAGGTTGCCAGGAAGGACAGAAAACTCAATTAAGAACCACTGGAATGCAACCAAAAGGAAGCAATACTCGAAGCGAAAATGTCGACCAAAGTACCCTAAAGCCTCTCTTCTGCAAGATTATATCAAGAGCTTGAACTTAGACTCGGGCATTACTGGGAGAGTTGTTGGGATAACCACTGCTAGTACTGATATCGTACCAGCTAATGATACCAAAATGAAAGCATCAGAGACGCAGCCACGGGACTTGCTCCTTTTCAAAGATAATGATGATGGATTAGTTCCACATTATAGTTTTAATGAGGTCCTGGATTTTGATATTCATGACAAAATTTTTCAAGGGGGCTGCAGTGTTGATTCTATTCTTGATGAGCTACCTTGTGATCATTCTGTTGTTCATGAGAAAAGATTGGAGATGAATGTGCCAGAACAGGATGTGACTCCATTTATGGGTTTTGAAGTGAAGAAGGAGGTGGATTTAGTAGAAATGATCTCTCAAAGCAAAATGTAAGTCCATAAAAAGCCATGGTCATACATTAGTGTGGATAGAGATGGTATGGCAGGTATTCAAATTTTCTTATTAAGCAAATTTAAAGGACTAATTAAAGAACAGAAAAGGAAAAAGTTTTTGGTTGCTAATTAATTGTGTTATTGAGAACTCGAAGCTGGAGTATAAGAGCTTGAAGAACAAGAAGAAAGGAAAGAAAAATGAAGAAACTAAAAACTTTTAGATATGGAGATTAATTCTGTGACAATATTTGCGAGAAGAAAAGTTTTGCATTTTATGTTAAGGCTTAATTTGATTGCAAGATTGATCTGAACTTTTGTAAGGGAAGCCTTAAAATATTCATGAATAAAGGTACAAATTAACTTTTCTACGTACGATGTGTTTTTCTTTCTTTTTACTTATTTAATTTTCAGTTCAATTGATACCCACATTTTCTAAAAATTACATTAAGTTTCTTTATAATTAGTTTATCAGGTACATAAAATCATTAGGTTCATTAATCTAACTTTTAAGCGATTTAAAGATCAAATCCCTATAAAAATACTTAAATGTTTTTTCTCCACCAATCTCATTTTTTAAATGCATTAGCATTAATTGGGATTAATCATACAATAATATTTTTATTAGAAAATAATATAAATAATATCTTGACAGCTTAAATTTTTTGATGAAATAATCCTTTGATATGGTATCAAACCTTGCTAATTTAATAGTCAAGAGTTCAAATTCTACTATCCCACTTTCTTTTTTAATTAATTAAGTAAAAAATAACAAGAGTCTATACAAATTTTAAATTTAAAAAGCTTTCATTATTTGAGAAAATATATTAAAAAATAATATAAATTATATACTAAGATTAGCATGACAATTTCAAATATAGTAGGTAGCAGACTACATGCTTGTTTAAGTTGCCATATGCATTGGTCCAATGGTTAAGCAGTTAAGGTGCTCGTAAGCGAAGAAGTGCTCGGGTTCAAATCCCGCACCCCTATATATATTAAATCGTAGCTTCAGTTAAATCTTCTTGAAGATCTTCTAATGCAATTAAGTACTAAATGTGGTTTCAGATGGTAAAGACATGGTAAGTTACGGTGGGAATAATGTTAGTAAACATTAAATGGTATATATAGCAGTATGGTAATAACCTTCCATGAGGTGATTTATCCTCAAGTCCCAATAAATCTGAAAAAAAAAAAAAAAAAAAAACCGAATCCAGTAAGGAAGAATTATATATGGTGTGCTTCGAATTTTCTTTTCTTCTCTTTTTTTATTTTGCTTAAGGTCGGCACATATAAAAACTTGAGGAGGAAGCTAGAAACCCTAATAGAAACAGGAAAAAGGAGAATCCAAAATAAGAAAGGAAATCTTTCCCCATAAAGATTTTCCCTTTTTGATTCCTCTACTTATTCGCCAGTACTGCTGTATATATATGCCTCCCAGCTCTATACATGCCTACTTTGTCTTTGTTTCTTCAAATATTCAATGGCTACAAGATCCCAGCAAACAGCTACAAAAAGGGAAAACTTCATGAAGAAGATTAATGGTGGTGACAAAGTAACCCAAGCTGCGAGCTTTTCAAAGAGAAAGCCAACCTTGAAGAAGAAAGCAGTGGAACTCAAAACTTTGTGCGCTGTCACAATTTGCATGGTCTGTTTCGGTCCTGACGGCAGCATCGAAACCTACCCAGAGAATGCTGAAGAGGTTAGGAAAGAAATCGGGTTCTACAAAGGACTTCATGCCTCGCAGAAACGTGAGTTCAACCTCTTGAGTTATTTGGAGGATGGTAAGAGAAAACTTGAATCGAAGAGAGAGAAGGTGAGAAGGAAGAACCTTGAAGCATTGACTGAGAGTTTGTCCAATCAAATTGAGGGGTTATCTGGGGATGCATTGTTCTTCTTCATTAAAACTTTGGAGAAACAATTGCCGGGTTTGAAGGAAAAAATCAGAATGTTAAGCAGTCGTGACGATAAAGGAAAAGCAATTGCCCATGATAATGACGATGATCATGCTAATATTGTATCTGTAGACAAAGATATGTTTGGTGAATCTCCTGTCCCTTCTGCTACTATTGATCCTGTAGCTGCATGGCCTGCTTTGGTTACAAATGACAACATTGTCGATCAAAATAACAATACTTTGTCAAGTAACCAAGCAAATTCCATAGTTCATGAAGATTTAGACCTGTTCTTTTGGGATTCAAATCAGCTACTACTAGAGTTGCCATGTTTGGGATCTGAACCAAGCAATCCTGTCCAGTAACATATATAGGAGTTCTGCTTCCTACTTGAGAAACTCGGTCTTGATTAATTATTGGAAAGCGGTTGTAGGTGAATCCCCGATTTTGGTAGCACAGGGGTTTCTTTTTTAATTCTATATTTCACTGTAATAATAGTTATTATAAGGTAGTTATGTTCATATCATTTTTTTTCTCCTTTTATTTTATAATTTTACTATCAGTTCTTGCCAGGACATTGTTTTTTTTTTCCTTGATTGAAGTATTATTAGCATACTGAATTTTACAAATGTATTCGTTTTCCTTTGCTGGCACTAGTCAAAGGAGAATCTATGAAGAATGCCATTTTTTTTTTTTCCGTGCGGTGAGTTCCTCTAAAATCATGTAAAACTGAATAATGAGAATGAGAAAGAGAAAGAGAGAAGCAAGTAAAGATAGCAATTTACCCTGTTCCATCCCATTTGAAGGAGGATGGTATTCAAAATTTTGCTCCGAATGAAGCACGGTGTGAGGATGAGGTGAAATTTTTGAAATTTTGAAACAAGACGAGGACAAGGATGACTATCTCCACCTCTGTCTCGTCATTTTACCTTTAAAAATGATAATTTAACAAAACCTCACCTTGTTTGAAAAAAAAATGATATTCAAAATTTCATTCCGAACAGGACAAAGGGTGGCGATGGAATGACATTTTTTGTGGCGAAGTAGGACCGAGGATGGCTATCCCCGCCTCTGCGCCACCCCCATTGGCATCCCTAAAAGCAAACAGTAGAGAACCTTTTTGTTATTTTTGGTTGAAGAGTTCGAGGCCCAGGTCAAGACTGAACAGGCTTGGAGCAGCAGAAAAAGTTATTTGACAAACTTATGGTCCAACCAGTCCCTTCCTAAACCCCTGCAGCACCTCCTCCTTCATAAACTCCTCTCATGGTAAAACCACAAAAGCCAAACATTTCAGATTCAGCTCAGCTATAAAGCTAAGCTAACTATCATAAACCAAATGAGAATCATTTTAACAATTCGTTACCACATGTGGTTTACCAACGAACTGGATTCAGCACAATTCTACACTATCGTACAATCAGTGAATCAATCAAATCCCGAACTTTCAAAACTTTCTTTTGCAACACGCAAACCATTTGGCAGACTTAAGTCAGGAAATATAGAATGGGAAAACCATATCGTTCTTTCGGATACAGCGTAATTATGAAAGAAGAAATAAGAATTTCTGAACAGCAAACTTGCTTGCACCCAGCAAAATTTTGATTGGGTGTCCACAAGAGCATAAAAATCAACCCAAGAAAAAAATAAACCAAAGATTACAGAGAAAAACCTAAATGAGTTCCTGGCCTGATCTACAAAACATGTTCTTGAATGCAATAATATGGATGCTATCATCTAATGACCCAAGTTTAACAACAAAATCTCTTCCCAGAATTTTAAGCTGTTTTTGGCTTTGGCTTAATGCGCTTCACTCTTGAATACAGAAAAACTCCAGCAAGAGCAATTCCAGTACCTGAATTGCATCCATATGACAAAACCATAACGAAGGAGGAAATGGTGTAATAAAATAAAACAAGCGTGCAAACTAATGAATAAATTACTGTGACATCAAAATAGGTATTTTACCCATTGAGTTGATAGCCGAAACAGGGGTCTTGAAGAAGAGGACAGAGCTCACGATGACAACCACACGCTTCACACAATTACCAACAGAGTGTGTAACAGGCGATACCCTTTGCAATATCATATAAGAAACCTGCAAGTTACCATCCCAGATGGATCAGACTTGGCTACTTTGGAACAAGAGAAAGCTAATTACAAAGTGCAAATTCCTTTATAATGGCACACATCACTTGGACAAACTTTAACCTCTTGTGGGTTACATCCTATATTTTCTAGAGATTCAGAGCTGGAACCATATACATGCACTAGCACACTTCCAATTTTAAATTCAAGATGTTTAGCCTCCTTAACTCCTAGCACCACCCCAGAAGGGATCAATTGCACAAGCACATAGCGAGAGCAATTTTCTTTTCCTTTTTCCTCACACAACTAGTTGAACATAACCAGTAGACAAAAATAATAAAACAAAAACAAATAACGTACAATCTTCTATATCATGGTACCAATACACAGACAGGGGTCAGTAACTTGGAAGAGTTCAACAATCACAGAACAAAGATGGCAATTACGAACAACAGAGGAGTTCAATGCCTGAAGAATGTTTGTGACAACCATTTTCAAATAACCACTATCCTATGTGGAAAAGGTAGGGATAACAGTTATTTTGCAACCTCTCTCACCAAACAAAGGATCATAGGTTAGATAGGAAGCAATAAGGAACCCAGAAAGACTATAATAATATAGAATTAATCTTTTTTCTTGATCAAAAGGGGAAATTAGCACATCCATGTGTCTAACATAGTAACATGTAGACATTTTCCAGCACGTAAGTAATGCTATCACATTTTCCAAAACATACTCGACGAAACAAAATATTCCTTAAGAATAGACGAGCAAGAGTTTGGAGGAAAAATAAAATAGAAGAGAAACATCAAAAACACAAAAGCATACTTACCTGTTGATAGGCATGGAAGGAAAGCGCAGCAAGAAGAGACCTGATGTATACCTGTTTAACATTCAATCCCTGTCACGCAAACAACAGCTTAGCAAATCAGACAATGACTTTTAGTAACCAAGAATTTGCTTAGAAATTTTTTTCTGCAGGGAGAACTCACAGCAGATTGGAGGTATAATGGAGTAAACTTGACACCTTCCATGAAGAGAGTCACAGGGGCTAACAAGATAAATGACATGATAGTTATGATGGAGAAAAGAGTAATGTTGTCCATAGATTCCTGTTCATGAGCAAACCATTAATCATACACAAATCCAAATCAAATTAGAGAAAATAGTTGTAGCAGAATATTGCAATATGCAACCACTATGGAAAGTGTTAAGTTCAATTCAACCAAAAGTTTTCAGTCCAACAAGTACCAAAACCATGATAAAGTTGAGAATCTGGGAAGACAGAATTACCTCTTTCTTAATCATGACCTTTTTGCTAAGGACATTACGAGATTGGTTTGACAAATTAGAAGCCATTGCACTCCAAAAACCAGCCCTTTTTAGAAACATAAGAATAAGGTCATAATAAAGTGCATCAGTAACAGCTCCAAATAAAGTGCATCCATAAAATTTTGGGGTGGCAGTGACTGTAATTATATAATGACTAGAAATATGCATCGCCTACCAATTGAAAGAAGCCTCGGTGACTGAGGCAAGCGCCACTCCACCAACAATTGGTAAAAGGGAACCAACCACCCAGAGGGTAGGCAACTGGTACAGAATAATAAGAATTAGAGCTAAAGCAGCTAAACTAACGCTTGACAAAATCAGTAATCATTCAAACTGTAACAACAACATTAGGCTACTAAAATGGGCAAATTAGCAAATTCAAATTAACTCTATCCAGCATATCCAGGAGATACAAAAGATGATAAAAGGGCAAAAACTCTCACCTCCCCAAGAAACATTGCAGAGAGGACAACTGAGAAGAAGGGCTCCATAGCTTTGATAGTGTGAGTGAATGAAACAGCCACCTTTCCAAGACTCATATTAGTGAAAAGATTCCCTAGCGTGTGAACCACTGCCAATGGCAGAATCATTGCAAGCTACTCAAAAAAGGAAAACAAAAATAAGTCCCCCTCTCGACAACAAAAAGAATCAATCACCCATATATTAAACACAACAGCTGCATCATAAATCACATACCTGCGCACCACTAATTTCCGGCTTTTTGTATAGATTGAAAGTCCACATAAAAATAACTAATACCGTCCCAACAGCAAATTGAACTGCAGTAACAGTTACTGGGTTCGGGAATACCTTCAATACCTGTAACAAGTAGCATTACGAATCATAAGGTCATTCATCTTCTTTATCATGGCTACCAATTCTGAACATCAATCGACATTAACCTAAGCAAACAAGGAAAAAAAAAAAAGGATAAAAAAACACACACACAAACAGACAAAAAAATCTTCTGAATAATCGGTATAGTGTAATTGCTAATTTGAATAAAATTACAGGAAAAAACTTCCTACATTTGACAAATGATCTAAACATTTCCATTTCATAATTCCTTCCAATATTATCACAAAATGAATAAAATAATATCAAAAATAAAACAAACAATTTCTTCCAATATTATCACAAATGAATAAAATAATATCAAAAATAAAACTAAGAGGAGAATTAAAAAGAGAAAAGAAAAGGCGAACCTGTTTGTTGTAAATATTGAAGTAGATATTAAAAATATACCAAAGGCCAAACAACAAACCAAGCTCTAAAGTCCTGATCAAACTACTCTTCTCCTCTCCCTCGCCAGCAGTCTCTGGAACCGCCGTTGCTTTCACCTCAAAGCGCTCCATTTTACTCTGGGAGACCAAGGGAGGCAACGGATTCCATGGCCGCGAAAGAGACGAGTTAGAATCAGAAGACAAGGACCAGGATCGGCGAGGGAAAACGACATTGTTAGAGTCGAGATCGTGCCGTTTCGGAGAAGAGAAAGCGCGAATTGGATCGAATCGTGAAGGAAGCGAATAAGTAGTAGGGTTAGTTATTAGGCGTCGCTGTTTGACGAGAGAAAGAGAAGGGGAAGGAGAGAAAGTGAAGGCTGTGCTCTGCATTTTCGAGATCCGAAAGAAGCAGAGACAGAAAGAGAGAGAGCGAGAGAGAGAGAGAGAGAGAGAGAGTTGTGTTTGTGTTTTTCGGAAGTTGTGTTTGGTTTGTAGTTGAGAGGGAAGCGTTGGAAAGTCCGTCGAGGGAGAGAGTGCCTTTTCTTTCTTTTCTTTTTTTTTCTTTTTTTTTTTTCTTAGGTTGGAAGGGTTAGGTGGCTGCCTAGTGAATATGAGGAGGAGTGTTACTTTTTATATGAAGAAAATAAATTGGAAACGCAAGGATATTCTTGGAATTTAATATTTTTGAATTTAGACCGATAAAACAGAGAGATTCAACTTTAGAGTCCTGTTTGGTTGTGATTGTTAGATCGATTAGCTGGCTCTGGAAAGCACCTTTGGGATGCTGCTGATGATTGGGATAACCTCAAATTAGTCCCCAACGTATAACCATTTTTGCAATTAGAATCCTAATCTATACAGAAATCCTTGATTTGATCCTTTTGTCGACAAATGAGCCTAGCATCCTCTATAAGTTAGGAACGCAACTGAGAAAAAGGCCTAGGCGCATTTGTTGACATTGAGAATTCCTGGATACATTAAGGACCCAATTGATTAAAAACATCTAAACTGAAGAAGCAGTGCAGGTTGGAGACTGACCCGATGTTGCCGCTTGATAATTGCACGAATATTGATCATATTTAGCGAAAAGCACTTGTGAAAAGAATTTCGAAATGCAATCTTCGGAATTTTATTAAATTTTTTTATATCCACTGGAGACTAACGTGAATGATGAGTTTTTAACATCATTTGGAAAATATTTAATTTCAATTAATGCCCAAATTGATTTAAAATATATATTTTACCATCCAATAAAAAAACAAAAATAAAATCTTGTTAACTAAACTTGAATGTGTGTTTTATGATAAAAAGTAGTAAATATTATACCATTTGATTCACATGGTGGCAGATATCCAAATGTCAGTTAAGTAAGGAGGGTTTTTTATTATTTTTTTATTTTTTTTGGGATTTTGTATATAAATTATCAAAAAGTTTTAGCAGAATATAGTCAATTCATTTAAAGAAGATAATTTTTTTTTTTTTAGTCAAAACACTAAGTTCTTTGCATTTCCTTTGGTTTTATTCTTATTTGTGTAAAAAGTTAAACAAAACCTAATTTGCTTTTCATTAATAAAACCGAATAATAGGTTGTTGGGAGGAAGGAGTAATAAGAGGCTCATCATTCTTTCTTCCCCAATCTAAAACACTCTCCAAGTGTGGACCAAATATAAAATAAAAATTGGTGAGATGGGGACTGTTTTTTGACACTTTTGGTGGGAGAAGGGATCCATCTTCGTTGCCAATTTGGAAAGTCATTTCCACCAACCACCATTTTGACGAGGAAATTAGGAATACTGTCGTTTTGTGAGTCCACTGGCCACGTCACCTGGCCACGTCACCTCTCCCAAATTGTTGAAAAACAATTTAAAAAAAAAAAAAAAAAAAACATAACAATCTAGTGCAGGATAAAAAAGAAAATAATTCCTTTTTATTTCTTTTATGTAACACAAAACATTGAACTCAAAATTAATAATAAGATTTAGAACTTAACGCCTCTTATTCTATGGGAGGATACAAAGGCCTTGTGGATTTGAATTATTTCATAATCTTAAAAATATATAATTTGTCATATTTCCAATTTCTTCATTAATTTTGAATTTAATAATTTAAATTATGTGAGACAAATAAAGTAATAATTATTTTTATTGACATTGGAACAAATACAGCCTCAAGATACAAAGCAACAAAGGTCCATGTGCTTGTGTGTAGTTGGGGGTACATGGCAACTTGCTTCTATAGCAAATTCAATGAAAAAGCACAAATGGATTACAAAAAACAATGCTTCCACTTTCTTCCGATTATGTACATGGAAGTTGTAATACCAAATCCTACCTACAAAGAATCAATGGATAAAATAGTATCCTTCTGGTTCTCCAAAAATTTCTTGTTAAAAACCATGGGAACTTACAGTATTTAGCATATCAATATCTTTGCACATAAAATAAATATCCACCAACCATCAAACAGTCATTTTAACCCATACCTTTGATACAGGGTTAATGAAGATTGCAGCTGCTTAGGACACAAATACTTCAACGCTTGAAGTCTTCGTTACACGGCAGACAGGGCAAACATCTATGAACCCTTCACAAACTTTGCAGAGGCACAAGTGTCTACATGGAAATAATAAGACAGAAGCTTCATTATTCTTGCAAGCTCTGCAAGTCATCTGCCTTTTCAAGGAGACTGAATTTGCAGAACCGTCCACGAGGCAGATATGGTTTTGTTTAGCATAAGAGGTTGCAGTATCGACCTCACTGTCCCCATAACCTTCCTTGCCATGCAGTGCACCTTGTGCCATCACCTGCTCCAGATTGATCTTCAGAGCATTAACTACAGACTCGTTATACCTTGCTCTGCTGTGCCAAGACTGGACTTCCATGCTAACTTGCTTTATTCTCTCCATTAGATCCTTGTTCTTTCGGTTTATGTTCTGTATTTCAAGCTCCTTGTCATGCAGCTTGCTGCTAATTTCTTTTTCTATGGCATTCAGCAATGAAACTGTATGTCTTTGCCCCAATTCTATCACACCTTTTATGATATTTTCTTCCTGCAACATATAAACCAGGTAAGCACAGAGGATGAAAGCCAGCAGCAGCAGCATTAAAGAATGTCACAAGCGAATTATTTCTAATTGTATCCTTGTAAATGTAGAAACGACAACTGTTTGAATTTTTTTACCCTTACTTGTTAGTTAGGCTAAAAACTTTCATAATTAACTTCATATGGAATTTTTTTATATGAAAGAGGGAATTTTTTTAAAAAAAAGGTGGTATTATTATGCCATTTCCCTTGATGAAAAATAAAGGGGAACAACTTTTACCTCCATGGAAAATAAATGCATGAATTGGATGTATTACAAAAGAAATCAGAGGCAAGGCAATAGTTTCTGTTAAATTTGGCAGTCAAAAAAAAAAACTTTAACAGTACACAAACAGAGAAAAAAATATGGAGTTGATTAGATAAGGAGTAACTGGCATGTTGATATACTTGAGGTGTCTAGGCCAAGTGACCATATGCTAGACATGTGTATAACATCAGACATCAATCGTTTGACAAAAAATGATTACCTGAAGTCTAATATAGTGATCTAAATCCCCTTTCTGCAAATTAATCTCAGCTTTAAGATCTTCATCAAGAGGTAAAATAACAGGGAGGGTAGCCATTTTGATTTCACTCATACGTGTAACAGACGAGTTGCGTCCATCTTCCTCGCAAGATAGTTTCAATCCAATTGATACATGATTAGGATTCAGAATGATTCCCGATTTACCAGCATCATAATGGCTGAAGTTATTACTTGATGATAATTGATGCTTTTTCTGTCCGGAAACAGATTCTGCCTCATTGACTCTTTTAGTAGGCTGGCCAAAGATTGCTGCCTGCTGATTTCTGGAGTGATTTATGGAGCTGCCAATGCATCCAGCTGGATCTGTGACAGATTGAAACTTCACTAGGAGATCAGACCAACCATACAACTCTCAAAAGAAAGGTGAGAGCATACATTGTAAATTTGTAAATAGTAAAGCGGACACAAACAAAAAGGGAAAATCCAAGGAGCTTAATTATAGTTTACTGATAGAATCTCAGAACTGTATTGTCATGGAAAAAAAGAAATCAGAGAATGCCATCAGAAAGAAATCAATCATTTCCTCTCTCTATTTCAGTTTCTCAAACGAGCGTCCCATAGAATAAGCAACAGGAATTTGGAACTTATTGACCAACTTCATCTGAGAAGCATGCATCAAATCAAAACATGCACACTAAATTTTATGAAGATCAGAAATCAGGAATCCATCAAGCACAAACAGTATTCCATGACAGCGTATTGGAACAAAAGAATAAAGAGGAACAATGTACATATTCTCTTCACGAATAACAACGCAATGCAATTTAATGACAACCAAGCATAACAATGTCAAAAATTTGTGACCTTTAAGGCAAAGCAATATTATAAAATGCGATTAGTTTGCAGAAAAACTCACCATCCCTGAGTAGCTGCAGTTGAGGCAATGCATTGACATCATCCAAAATGTGATTTTCCCCAAAGGAAATTGGAACCAAAGGATTGCTGTTATTAGCTCCAAACATGTTCCTAAATTGAACCAAATAAAAAAAAAATGAAATTATCACTCTATGATTAACCATGATCAATATGTGACCACAATTGGAATGTAATGTCAATCACTTTCTTACTATCAATAATAGACAAAGCCCTTTAAAATGTAATGCTTTTGGAGAAAGAGAGAAATCAAGAAAATTACATTAAACATATGAATAAGCGAAATGGATTCCCTATAAAAAGAGATATAATTTTATCCAAAAAAAATAAATAAATAAATTTGATATGATGTGCAAACATAGAGTAGGAACAAAATAGAGATCCAACTAGGAAACAGAACAAAGAAAGAAAAAAAAACTCTTGGTGCCTCTTCTCAACACAAGAAGATCAATATCAATAGAAAATAAACACATATCTAGCACAAAAAGTATGACCAAAACACAATCATCAAATCCATTCACAAAACTTATTAAAAATTGGGACCCGATTGTTTACCTGAAATGGGCTAAATATTGAGAGAGATACCGATCAAGGAAGCGAAAATATGAGAGAGAAAAGATAGGCAAGAGAAAAAGAAGCAATTTTGTTTCTTGTTATCGCTGGAGGTAATGACGGTGATGATGGTGGTGGTGAGGGTGTGAAGAAAGGAGGGTTGAATGATTGTTGCTGTTGTCGTTGTTAAGAAGAAAACTGAGGATTCCATTTGAACGGATACTTGTAAATATTGTTGGTGGTGGTGTTGACATTGTTGTTGGTGGTATTGGAATCGTCATTGCAGTTGAGTCTCTTTAAGTTTTACCGCGTCAGCTTCTCTTTCTTTTTACTTCTTTGGCATTGTCTGGCTGTTTGTTCTTTGGACAGGTTCAAGTTTTAGATCCTTAAATAATGAGTAAATTATAAATTAATCCCTCTATTTTTTAATAAATGAATAGGCCTCTCTTGTTTTAAAAATTAAAACCATACTTAATTTAATATTATTTTATTTTATAAAATGTTATTTTTTTCTCATTAATCTTTTTATATTTTTTTAATTAATTAAAAAATAAAAATAGATTAAAAATAAAAATGATTAAGTTATAAAAATAATTAATTAATTTTTAAAACAAAACGGATTAATTGATTCATTTCTTTAAACTAAAGGAAGTAATTTATAATTTACCCTGAAAGAGTGGAACTGGCCTTAAAGCAAAGGACAATTACGTCTTGTAACCCAAATTCTAGCCGAGAAGAATTAAAAGAGGAGAGCCAAGTTTACGCATTACCAAACCTTATGTGTTTTTTTTTTTAACCCTCTCCGCCCTTGGCACTGAGGTGATCGAGTGTGAAAACAAAACTCAAACACTAATCTCACTAGTTTGTTGCGAGGACCTTGTGAAAAAACAATATAGAAGGCATCATACAAACCGCACTGTTTGGGTAATTGTACTGAGATATGCCCAACCACATAATATTTTATTAAAAATTAAAATTGTGTATTTAGACTTTTTGGATTCAATGCATAAACTTTGTGTTCGTGAAAAATAGCGCGGCGTTTGGGTTCAACCATTCGGTGAGAAATGCTCTTGACAAGAATAGGAAATTAACAAAATGAGTCGTCAACTGATATCGAAAAAACTAAAAAACCCAAAAAGACTAGTTTGCATAAATATATAGGTAAGAGATTAGTTATGGATAGAAAAATCAAAATAATCGTTATCATATACTACTTGGGGTAGACTACATTACATATATATGGAAACTAAATGTCCGATTTTACTATGTTATAGTAGGGATGGCACATCCGCCGCCCCTAAAAAATTCCCATCCACGCCCGTGCATCGAACGGGCAGAATTTTTCATCTCAATCCCGCCCTAAACCGAGTACGAGGATCCCCGCGGCGCAAGCGGGCGTAAACAAGGTAAATTTTTTTTTTCATCTCTTTTTATCCCATTCTACTACAAATTTCAAATTATAGCAAACAATGATAGTTTATATAGAAAATAAACTCTAAAAGTCACTAATCATAGATTTTATATGGGGTATAATTATAATTTTAATGAAAAAAAGAGGCAAACGAGGCGGGGTAGGCAAATCCTATCCTCGCCTCCGGTTCCCGATCAATGCGAGGAATCGCGGCGTTGACCGGGGAAAATCGAGTCGGGATAGGACGGGGCTCCGTCGGGCGAGGCAAATTGCCATCCCTACATTGTAGGCATCGATCTATACCTATTTAAATGAATTCATCTTATTGGAATGGGTCAATTGAGTAATTTGGAATTTAGGTCAGTCAAAACCTATTTACATACCCTTAAAAGTTAAAAAATAAAAATAAATAGTAAAAAAATATGCTTAAAATGGCGAGTCATTAGTGGTTTCGAGCCCCAACACATGATTGGCAAACCACTAATGGCTACGAGCTCATAAAACAAAATTTTGTGAGCCACTAATGGCTTTGAGCACATAAACACAAAATTAATGAACCATTAATGGATTCAAGCTCATAAACACAAAATTAACGAGCCACTATGGCTTCGAGCATATAAACATAAATTTGATGAGTCACCAATGGCTACAAGCTCATAAACACGAAATTGGCGAGTCACTAATGGTCGCAAGCCCATACACATAAAATTGGCGAGTCATTAATAGCTTCGACCCCAAAAATACAAAATTAAGCCATTAATGGCTAGAAGCCCATTAACACAAAATTCATAAAAGCCATTAATGGCTACGAGCCCATAAACACAAAATCAGCAAGCCACTAATAACTACAAGCTTATACACTTAAAATTGGCAAACCGCTAATGGCTTCGAGCCCATAAATACAAAATAGGCGAGCCACTAACGACTATGAGCTCTTGTACATAAAATTGGCGAGTCACTAAAGGCTACGAACCCATAAATATGACATTGAAGAGTCACCAATTGCTACGAGACCATAAATATGATATTGGTGAGACATTAATGGCTATGGACCTATAAATACCCGATTTATCACATATATACATATCATATTTGATCATGTAAAATGAGGCGTCAAACTTCGAACTATTTCTTAGCAAGTTTTTATAAGTTGGGTAATTATTAAGAACATGCTCTCAACTAGACGGCACACATCTCACGATGGGTAATTATTAAATAATAGTGGATGCCAATGAATTGTTAAATAATAGTGTATGCATATATATATGTAATTGCGTTGTTAGTTTAAGAACGTGCTCTTTGCTAAACGGCATACATCTCACGATGGATAATTATTAAATAATAGTGGATGCCAATGAATTATAAAAATAAAACTTCGAGCCATTTCTTAGCAAGTTTTTATAAGTTGGGAGCTGATTTGTGAGATACATCAAACGTTAGGGATTGGTTTGTAGTTACCCTTCTAAAATTTTGTCTAGAAATCACTAGATAGAACTGAACAAATAAAAAAAATATATTTAATGTTGATGAGAATGTCGGTTTATGAAAGCATGTGAATTTAATTTTTATATATTTATTCATAAAAGAATGAATAATATTAAAATAAAAAACTATATTAATTTGAATCATTGAGTGGTTAAGCCAAAACATAATTTTAATTATTTTATTTAAAATAAATTAATTTAAAAATAAATAAGTAGATAGTAAATGCTTAATGTAGTAATAGTTGCATAGTTAATTTCTCAAAAAACAATGATTCAATATTTTTTATACATTATAACTACATTAAGTGGGTTTAGAGTTTTCGGTATAAAACAAAAAAACACTATAAAAAACAGTTTATTTGTAATGAATATATTGACTAAATTTGAAGTTATTAAACTAAAATAAAACTTGTAAAATTAATTTCGATTAATTTTGATTATATAAAGAAGAAACAAATAAAATACGTGAATACTTTTTTTCCCTTTCTTCTTAAATAATTTTTTATTTCTATACTATGCATGACTAGTCTTTGAATATAAGCCTCACACGTATAGCAACTATCTTCTTTTTGTTTTTTATATTTGACTTTCAACTATTAATTAACTAACTTGATTTTTTTTTCTAAAAAAAACTAAGAAAAAACTATTTGAAATACATTTTTAATCTAAAAATATATTTTAGACAAATTATATACATTAATCATGCCACTATAATTTAAAAATTATCTAAATTTATTTTTCAAAAGAAAAAAATAATCAAGTTTCAAAATTTTATTTCAAAATCCATATATATTAAAAAATAAATCAAAAATTTCATTAAATATAATTTTAAATTAATTCAATGAGAATTTAAAAAAATAATAAATTTTAAATAATAAAATTAATTAAAAAAACACTAAAACAAAATAAGATCAAATCACAATACAATTGAAACAAAAATATAAAAAACAAAATTGAGAACCAAAGTGTTACAAAAATGCCATAATTAGTAAAATAAAGAGTGATTTGTAAGTATGTGAATAGTCTTATGAATAATAAACACTCATTTTGTCTTACTTTTTTCACTAATTTTTTGCCCGTGCTATGCTACGGGTTGGATAAAATATATAAAATCATTTAAAAAAATTATTTCAGTTTGATAGCTCTGTTTTATGATGTGAATCTATAAAAGTATATGAAATTAAAGGTGAAAAAAATTATTTATAATTTTTTAATCAAAAATTTTGTATTTAACTATTTCTTATTTATGTTTATTATAATTTTTCTTTTAGAAAAAGGATTTATCCTTGTTAATTCATGAATTATTAACTAAAAATAAAATTAAATAAATTTCTTTTTAAAAAGCTTTAGTATTTCATAAGATTGTGTTGAAAAACTAAAATAATAATTATTAAAAGCTTACATAAAATTGAACAAATATTTTTTTATTTTTTATTTAATGTTGATGAGAATATCAGTTTTTGAAAAAAAATGAATTTAAATTTTATATATTTATTTAAAAAATAATGAATAATATTAAAATAAAAAACTACATTAATTTGAATCATTGAGTAGTTAAGCCAAAACATAATTTTTATTATTTAATTTAAAATAATTTAAATTTAAAATATTCAAAAATAAATAAATAAATAGTAAATGCTTA